TTTATTTTTGTTCTCCAGTTTTGTCTTCTCTTCCTCCAATTCTTTATTTTTGTTCTCCAGTTTTGTCTTCTCTTCCTCCATGTCTTTATTTTTGTCCTCCAAGAGTGCCTGCTTCTGTTCCAGGTCTTGACATTTCTCCTTCAATTTTTGGACTTCTGAATGTTTCTCCCTTAGAAATTGCTGGTACTCATTTTCTGCTTTAATTCTTGAGTACGTGTCTGACAGCTTTTCCTTCAAGTCATCCAAGTCTAGCTGCTTCCCTTCTAGTATTTTGTTTTCTTCTTCTAGCTTTTCATTTCTTTTCTCCAGTTGCTTGTATTTGGACTCCATTTCTTCTCTAAGAGCTACAAGCCCATCCTTATGACATAAATTGCTCCTCTCTACCAGGAGACCGTTTAGGCGACTTCGCAGTTGGTACTCGCTCTCTCGTAGACGAAGGTTTTCCCTCCTGCAGTTCTCAAAAGCTTTTCTGAGACCATTGTATTCACCGGGGGGACCGTACTGGCCACCGCAGCGAGGAGGAGGTCCTCTGAAACGCGGTTGATAGATGTTTTGAGACATTGCAAAACAAACCAACGCAAGTAGACTGATGTTCTTCTTGTTTTTTGAAGACGAGTGGAAAATCTTTGCAAAGACGAATTCAAAACTTGTTTAAATATGTTCAGAAATGTGGCGATGTCAACGTCTAACCGGCGAAAACACACTAAAGAAAAATACCGAACACTGGTTACTTGTTGCCCGTTACTGTGGTTACTTCACTGTAACAAACATTAACACGTTCTATAAGCAAATTACGCTGAGACATGGCGTTCGGCTAATGTCTATCACGTGACATCAAATAGGATTTTAAAGAAAACACGGGTGTATTTTGTCATTTTCAATAAAGTTTTAATTTCTTATTCTTCAACATATTTAGGATCCTTCTTACCGAGTGTTTATATCGCGGGTGTAAGTTAGAAGAGAACCCCGTATATAACAGGGAAAGTAGCAGGGCCTGATCACGGAAACAGAAGACATAATACCCAGTTAAAATAGTCAATAAAAATAAATGAACTTTATTTACAACACTAAAACGGCCCTGATCAGGGGAGAGAAAACCCCCCATAAACCTCGGCATACTAAAAATATGATGATGCTCAGTCCATGAGCTAAGTCCCCAAAGTTCCCGATCAGGCTACGCCACACTTCCTGGCTGTGAAGAATATGCTTATTCCACCAGTGGGAGCCAGGCCGACCGCGTCCTTCTTCTTGTGGCTGCGCCTGCCGCCACGCTACTCCATGGCTCTCCTGCTGCCACACACGTCTTTCTGACCTGCCAGAGCCTCTTATTGGCCGCTGCCAACATGGGAGGCCCGATTGATTTCTGTCCCCTGTGCCCTCCAGGTGTATCTAATTGGGGAAGCAAGGGGGGCGGAGTCTGTCGGGGAGAAGTCCCAATAAATGGAATAAAAGCATGCAACACTAAAATACACTCAACATTAAAACGCAAAGCATGCAACCACATAATAAAAATAATAAAATAATAAAATCCTTCTTCATAGGATGGCATTTACATAAGGTGTCCAAGGTCAATAGTTCAGAGAAAAACGTAAATTAATCTTTGTATTGGCAGTAATAGTGCAGCACCGAAAAATGGCCCCTTGTGTGTTTGTTTCTTCTTTTGTTGTGGCCAAAAGTGGCAGTACAGTGACAGTAAATATATCACATTAAATGCTGGCATTCAGTTAAAAACCAGACATGAATGAAAAAGATACACAAAGATTAAATGCAGAAATTAATATATTTATGATGAATATACAAAATAATAATTCTCCGAGAGCAGAAACAGGTTGCAGCTCTGATTTCAAAGTTTAAAAATGATTTTTACACATTTCAGTTTTTGAAGCAGAACATCATTTTGACATGAAACCTGGAAACATATTAAGCGTTACTAAGTCTTCTGTATCCGTTCTGGCATTTTTAATGAACCAAACTGTATCCAAATTGGTTCGAAAGTCAACGACTTATGATGATATTTAATTGAATTTAGGTATCTGCCTCCATATGGCGCCTCGCTGATGCGTTGTTACAGCGCACAGCAGCAACCAGTGGAGCATGCACGTGTTTATGTAGGCCTATCTGTGATGTGTAGATATAATAATGTCAGATTAATAATGACAATCCAGAAATAAAGATATTTATCTTTTGTAAAAGATAAATGACAACTTCTGTTTTCTGAAAGCCCTGTTAACCACACTTAAAACAGTCTCCTACAAAACTGCTTTTGAGCTGGAGACCCACATGGATGTGACTAAACTAGCCACCGGGTGGGGTTGTTTACCCATCTTAACGGCGTGGCAGGAGGATCAGCTGCTCTGTTTTCCCCCGCCTTCATCTCTCTCCGGCTCTACCCAAGTCCAGTAGCACATTAATAAGAAAGTTTACTCGAGGACACGCTGGAGAAGTCTTGAGTGAGTGTTACTTTACTGTTTGAGTAATCAGTGTACTTACTCATCTCCAGCCCCAGCGTTAGTGGCTGCACAGCTGCGGGTGGGGGCTTATGTAAAAGGATTACACCTCTTAAGACAATAATGGTCACCGGGAGAACAAATGAGGTGGCATTAACGCTCCGGAGGTGTCCCTTAACGCGTCAGTGAGGCGGACCAGCTCAGTGCGAGCGCAGCCAGCGCAACATGGACACGGCAGGTAATGCTAAAATTCTTTACTTTATTTTAGACTCAGCAAGTCGAAGATATGAACAGAATTAAAGTCCACCTATAATTATGCCTCCCTGCAAACTGTCGCTCATATAACTTACTGTCAAATTAGACCTGTTGGTTATATGCATGCTGACTGAGTTGCTGTCCATGGTGCTGATTAATAGACGGCCACGGGAGTTCAGTGAGTGTTTCTTATCCTCACAGGTCAATACTGTGTCAGAATTAAAGGATTTCATTGTCTATTCTTCAGCTCTGAGGCCACATTACTCATCACAACATATTCTTTTCACAACAGGCCGTTTAATTAAACATGACCAGAGGGGAATCACCCTGCACTGCTGACTTCTCTGCAGACAGCGGGCACCGGGTACCCTGGTTTCGGAAGGTACAGAGGACACTGTTGGATCACGCCAACATCTTTGACTTATAAGACCAGGATTATATCTGAGTGTGAGAAAATCCCTCTCTTCAGTCATGGAGCTTTTCTTTTAGCCAACTTTTGTGTTTTGTGACTTAGCTGTGTGGCTTCAGCTGAAGTCAGAGGGTTTTTTTCAACCTGGTTCCTATTTTTAAGCTTTATCTACTGAATGAAACTGATGTCACTTGAGATTAGAGATGCTACCAGCAGCTTTTTTACTTGCCTCCTCCAGTGGGGTTCAGTTTGGACAAGCAGGTGCTAAAGTGTCCATTTTACAAGTTATTTGTCCCTCACTGCCTTTCCCCAAACACTTGGCTCAATCTCTGCCATCCTGAACTAGGACTCCACATATCCTCCTGCCTGGATGACTGAGGGAAGAGTTTTTGGACACTTACCATGGCTGACTCCTTTCAAACTCCAGCCTGGAGGGAGATGACAAATGGAGGGGGGCACCCCCACTTTAAAAACGGAGGTCCGAATGGGGGTTCCCACAGCACCACACGCTACATGGTGAAGAAGCAGCGCCACAGACGCAGGTCCTCCTCACCCATGGGCAGGGTCATCCTCATCAATGCACCTGTTGATGGTGAGGTCTGGTCCCAGTAACAGTCTTCTGCTACCATGGCAACACAGCAACTGGCTGCAAAGGTGTATTCAGGACAATCAGTGACACAGATATTTGTCTAAAATTAATTCAGAGCAAGCTGATATACATATGTAAAATACTGTGGACAGAGTTAATCTTATGTGTTTTTAAGCTAAAAGGCAATGAGAACTGAGTTACTAAAAACTTTTTTAGTCAACCTCTTTTCTATTTTTAAGCAGAAATGCAAACAATTCAAGTATCTGAAATGTAAAATTTTGGTAGTCTTCTTCATTTTCAGTGATCAGAAACTGAATGTCCGCAGTAGGCTTTGCTCATTTAAGACGAGACAAAAAAGTTGTGTGAAGATATGAATTTTGGCTTTGGATATTTCTGACATTTGAAAGACTGATTGGCCAATATTTAATTGAAACAACATCAGAGTGATCAACACAAATGTTAATTAATGGTTAGTTGTATTCACAGTAGGCGCCACCCAAGTTGTGCAAAAATTCTGTCAGTTAAATAAAGTTGCTTTCAATGATGAGCCTATATAAATGCATTTCATTTGTCAGTTAACTTCATAGGAGTCTGTCGACCTGTGACCTGAAAAAGTTCATAAGGATGAAGTTTTTCATTTAAGGTTGATACATATGTTTTAGGTTTAACAGTCAACAGGTTTGTTATCAGTAACTTTTAAATGTTAGAATGTTTATTGTTTGTCATTTATTGTCTGTTCTTTGTAAATGAGTTTTTTCCCATCAGCTTTGAATTTTCAAATCATATTTTGTTGCAAGTGTCCCAATCCTGGGAATACTTGTGGGTCACACTGTGCATATTTATGGTGGACTCATGTTGGTGTTTTGTGTGTTTGCAGGAGGGGATGACAGTGAAGACATTCACACAGTGACAGTAGATAAGAGTCCAGATGGGCGTCTGGGTTTCAGTGTCCGCGGGGGCTCTGAACATGGACTCGGCATATTTGTCAGTAAGGTGCAGGACAACAGCCCTGCAGGTTAGGAAGAAATGTGTGTGTTCATCAGACTGTCTATGTAAATGGTCACTACAAGCTTTTTTTCCCAGTGTGCTTACACGTGGGAATGTTGTCTTCTGGTTTTTCATGCTGAATTCTGCCTGTGTCTGCAGCGGAGGCTGGGCTGACTGTGGGTGACAAGCTGGTGGAGGTGAACGGGGTCAGCCTGGAGAGCATCACCATGAGCAGTGCTGTGAAGGTCCTGACAGGAAACAACAGGCTGAGGATGGTGGTGAGACGGGTGGGCAAGATCCCCGGCATCCGCTACTCTAAGGAGAAGACCACATGGTGAGGCCAGTCCACTCAGCAGGGCTGGAAACTACCAAGATATCAAACATTTACTGATGAAATACTTATTGCTGAATATGTAAGAGACTACAGCTTTGGAACTACTATCACTGACCTTTGTGTGGCTCTTGTTTTGTGAAGTCTTGTCACTTGACTGTAGCTCACACTGGTTATCTTTCTTTTGGGATATACAGTATCTTGGTTTCATGTGGCATCAGTGGATTGATTACTGCTGTGACCTTTATGGCTACTTGATTATCTGATACTGACACACCTGAATTCAGTGGACAGAGAGAAAGCAGTTTATATGAGTGTTTTCATGTGTGCATATACAATGTCTCCTTTTGTGTGTGTTTATGTGTGTGCGTGCAGGGTGGATCTGATTCACCGGCGGATGGTAGTGGAGGAGAGCGGTCGTACCCCTTCAGAGGCCAGTTCGGACAGCGCTCTTCGCAGGATCGTACATCTCTTCACCACGTCAGATGATTATTGCTTGGGCTTCAACATCAGAGGAGGAAGAGAGTTTGGATTGGGAATTTATGTGTCTAAGTATGAATACAAACACTGTTTGTTTGTTTTTTCTGCATGAGATAAAAAAAAAATTAATTAGTCCCTGTTGTAAAATCATTTGGGCCTCAGGATGGTTACATTGGTGCACTTGGTGGAATCCAGGTTTACCCCACCTGGCTGCAAATAATAAAATTAACCCCAATAATTAAAGATGATATCATAATCTCATTTGCAAAGTTTATCTGAGTCTTTGTGGTAGATCAAAGCAATGAAGCTCACATTTAAATTCAATTAGTAGTTACATTTCTTTTTTTCATGTCTGAATTTTTTTCATACTGCTCATCAGGTTGGACCCAGGTGGACTTGCAGAGCAGCATGGCATCAAAATGGGGGATCAGATCCTTGCAGCTAATGGGGTGAGCTTTGATGACATCACTCACAGCAATGCGGTGGAGGTCCTGAAGAGCCACACCCACGTCATGTTGACCATCAGGGTGAGCGAAAGTAAAAAAAGAAAAGAAAGAAAAATATGTTTAAAGCTGAGCTAATCAGTTTCAGGTTGTTGGGTTGTTGTTGTTTTTTTTACATTTTTATAATTAACAGGGTATGAGAGGACTGTCACAGCACGAGGATGCATTTTTGTTCTTCCTTTTACAACCTGTGACTTAAATGTTTTGGCTCAGTTTCAGACAGCACACACAGAGCAAGTGACGAGAGTAGAGGATTTAACAGCCAAAAAGCTAAATATATTCCAAGGAGTGAGAGGAACACAAGACAAAGAGCTAACATGAGAGTATATATTGGGCTTATTTTCCTCTTTTGGACATAAACATACCTCCAGTTGAATGCTGAGGTGTACATGAGCAACATTTTGTCAAACCACCAAACTAAAAGAAAAACTCAGTGCTGTCTGAAATGAGACTGAAGTTTGATTTCAGGAAGTTCTCTAATTGCAGTGGAGTGTTAATAATTTGCTTCAGTTTAAACTTAACAGCTGATTGGAGCCTTGAGTGCTGACACAATAATAAATGCTAGCGTGTAAACAACACCGGCTCTTCTCAATGAGCCTGCACTGCTGAGCAGACAGTTGGCTTACAGCCCTCAAATTTCTTATGTGTGCCTGAGTATGTGTGCTAGGCCGCAGCACTTAACCTGTGTCATTTCTGGATAAAGGCACCGCGTGTAGGTGCGTATGAATCGGTGTATGTGTGATGTGCGGCGTGCTCTCAGCTCGCTAGCATTGCTGCATGCTCATTTTACCCCCCTGATCTCAGGTTCCACGTGTGAAAAACAGCCAGGCACGACGTTCATTATTCAAAGGCAGGCGAGGATCAGGTTATAATCAACCGAAAGCCTTAATTTATGCCTTCCTCCTGTCCTGTCCTGTATGGATGGATCACACACATAGTAAAGCAAGGTTTTATTATTTAAGACCCTCACACCTGTGCTCTTAAAGGAAAAAATGAGTGCTGATGAGACAGTTCCTTAAAAAAAAGTTAAGAAGGCATTATACAGTATTATGTGTTTACGAGAGCCACGTGTTTTGTAATTCTGTGAACCACATAATATTTACCCTAACCTATACAGTAAATACAAGCACCTTAATATCCTTACAGCTTTACATTTGAAGTAAGGATTCATTTGAACTGGATATTAAAGCAATTACTAACAATTACTAGAGCAAATATAACATAACTAAACTAACATTAAGTACAATAAGATGCTGCACAGAGGTCAAAAGGTGGAAATTAAACTGAAAATATCAAAGGCAGAACAACCTGTAAGTCCAGTGCTCGCTTTAATGTGTGGACAGCTTATTGATTGGTCCAAATATTCCAGTGATTCCACGGATTGTCATTGCAAATGGTGCTCAAAGGATAAAGACTTTCCTTTTGCCCTCTTCACCAAGTTCACATTTTGGTTTTGAGCGTCATGTCCTAAAGATTAGTGTATGGACTAGCTTGAAATTGAATTCAGGACTCATGTCAAATGATAATACTTCGGTTAGCCATTGTTTTATATCTGTGGTCGTAATCTTGTCAAATTAATCTGCAGAACTAAAATGATACCTTCTCATCACTCTCAGCTGTATGTGACATGCTAATGAGCACACAGTAACGTGTTTGTTGTGGTCCCAGCAGTTTTTTTCTACCTCTAAGTTTTGAATTGTTAGTTATCTGCTTGAGTTTGAAGTTTTGGTTCTTATATTTGGCAGGCTGATTTTTGCACTCCTGTTTTAATTTCCTCATTACTCTCTAGTGAGTTTGATGCTTTATAATATTAATAAATCTCTGAGTTCTGTGTTTACTTTATTCCTCCTCTAGTGAAGAGTTTTAGTTTTTTCCCATGCTTCTTATTCTAACTTTAGATCATCTTTTAGTGCAAGTTTTTGCATCTCTGTGTTTAGTTAAAAAAAAAATCCAATTTTACTCATTTTGTTGCCGCTTATGTTTTGCTTTGAATTTTGCTCCTTTCTTTGCGATTTTCTGATGACTTTCACCCATGTTTTACTTCCCCCCTTTTCCTAATTCCCATCTCGCCCTAAGTGTATGGATACAGTAGATAGCCCCATCCTTCCCTTAAAGGCCGCGTCTCCACATCTGTACACCTTACATTCATGTGCTGACTGTTTTCCCTCTCTGAAGATTTTTTTTTGGAGGATTCAGGTCCTTTAATTGGATTCAGAAGACACTATTCCTTCTTTTAAGATCAAATTCAGATTCAGATCCATATTCACCCCATTGCCAGTTCTTTGTGTATTTTATTCTAAATAAAACTGAATCGAACTGAACTTGCTGACGATCCTCATGTAAACACTGCTATTATCAACATGTTGCTGTAAACTCTTTTTTGCAGAGTGTGAATGTGGCTCACAAGTAACAAAAAACTACAGGAAAAAATCCAAATGAACAAATGCTGGCTCATTTTTAAATGTTGAAAAACCTCACTAACAGTCAATAAAGTCTAGAGAGTCTACTTCATAGTAATCATGCTGACTGTTTGCTGTTCTCGATGAACATTTTGTTTTTTTGATCTTCAACAGGAAGCTGGCAGATACCCCGCATACAAGGAGATGGTGGCAGAATACGGCTGGCTGGAAAAGTGTATGTTGACTGTTTTTACAGTCCCTGGACAATGTTTAACACAAGTTTTACAAGAGATAATGAACGGTGGCGTGAGAAGTACTGCCTTGACTAAACAAAATCAATGAAGATTTTATCTGGTTTTCAAAGCTACATGGTGGAGTCTCCTTGGAAACATTTAAAAATAAGCGGGATAGTGGCCTTGTGTAGCCTTCTTGAACAAGAAAGCTGTCATTCAGTTTCTTAATAGCACTCCAGTTCCTTGTTTTTTGCTTTGATACGAGCCCATCTCAACACAGCTAGGGATTAATTCAGTGTACTCAAAGGCAGCTCAGTCATCTGGAATGGAGCATGACTTGACATCTGTCGAGATGCCAAGATGCAGAGTCACTTTGGAGTTTCATTAGGAAAAAAGAAAAAAAGAAGTCCTGCTTTTTTTTCTGTCTATCAAAAGCTCACAGGATTATGGGGATATGAGAACAGACAGGTTTTCATTCAAAGAAAGCAGAAATAAGAAGGAAACAAATTAAGCTCTTATGGGAAAACTTTATCCACAGTACAGTCTAGCATGTATATTTATGTTGCTGTAACATATAGCAGCTGTTACACACACTAATCCCTTATATTCTTTGGATTGTGTTCTATAGTAGCCAATGGAGGCCCTCCACCATCATCACAGGGTTCAGACTCCAACTCTTCTGCCTCGTCATTGTCCTCCACCACCCCTCTCAGTTCCCTCAGTGGTCTCTCCCAGGTCCTCTTCCCTCCTGTCTTTGGCTCAGAGATGGTAGACATTGGCATCTGCACTGAGGACCACTCCCGACGTCCGAGCAGTACTGATCGAACTGCTGACTCCGCCATACAGACTGAACCCCAACCTCCAAACTACCAGGACCACCTGTTACCTAACGGGTCACACCCCGAAAGGCTATCCACGACAGAAACAAGCCGGACTGTTGGTGCCACATTAGTGTTGAAGGACACGGTCATACGTGGGAAAGGAGAAGGGCCAAGGGAGATGGGAGGAGCTGGAGAAGGTGGACAGGGACGGGTGAAAACGCTGTCATCAGGGAAGCAGGAAGTTGAGAAACACTCACCAAAGACAGCAGCTCTGATGGCCCTGAGCAGACCGCGGAAGCCAATCAGTCGTTCCCAGAGTCACATCACAGAGTCAGGTGAGGTCTGCAGGCTCTTTGGGGTTGTTAAATGTGGGGAACTATGGATGCAAGGTAGTTCTCTATGTACATTAATAATAGCTGACAAGTTTTTTCCAGCCTATTTAGGACATATTTTAGTCACAGTCTAGGTGTTTACAATTAAGGCAGTGCTTTCTGAGAAAACAAAACAAACACAATACTTTTTAATTTATTAACTTTAGCAGCAGTGGTTAAACCGAGATGGTGGCATAAAAAATAAAGCTCTCAGTATTTTGGTAGTGAGCATACAACATGCACAGTTTATTCATGTGACGAAAATTTAAGCAGACAAGTGATGTTTTACGTCACTGGTTTTAATTATGGACTGTATTAGGTACATCTTGCTAGTATCGGGTTGATCAGTAACAATACTCGGGTAAGTTGTGGCATTTAAACGATGCCCAGTCGATACTAATGCATGCAAAGAGTGCCAAGAAAATATCTCCCTTATAGCACTACAGCTCCACCAGCCTGACCATTGATACAAGGCAGATGAGGACCCAAACGCAAAAAACACAGAGACAAAAGCTGAACTCAAAACCTCTGCTTTATTGCAGGCTTCACAAAGAAACAGAACTAAACTGGGAAAACTAAACTGAGCACAGAGGGAACACAGAGAAAGGCACACAAGTTCAGGGAAGAGACATTGACAATGTGACACTGAACTGAGGGAGACGTGGACATAAATACACAGAGGGTTAACGAGGGTTAACCCCAGCTAAGAAATCAGTCCTTCCAGAATTGCGGCACTGTTATCAGATATTGAGCTGATGTTTGTGACAGTTCACTGCTTCTGGGCTCTTCCTATAGGACACGCATCAGTTAGACAACGCCTTAACCCCCCATCACTCCAGAAAGTAAACAAGAACATTCAGACTCTCCACGGCTGATTTAAGCTCCATACAGAATTTGTCTATGAGCACAAGGTTGCCACAGACTCATGATTAATCACTGCCCTTTACTCTCACTTGTTGTACCTCTGTGAGAAATGAATAAGAGCAAGCATATGGAGAAATATCTATCCAAGCCTTGGTGGGGCTGTTGAGTTATTAGCCTTTCCTTTTCAATTTCTCCAGCTCACTCGTAGCTTCAGAACCTGGTGGGGGCTCGGGCAAAGCTTAGGTCTGATTGGACATTTGTTATTGTAAGTGGGAGCACTTCTCTGTAGTGCTTCTAATAGATGGGGGTGTGTTCAGGTTGGTGAGGCTGCAATTCATCAGTGATACACTGTTGCTTTCCACAGTGTCAGATTTACTGCAGTGAAAAGAGAAGCTGACTGGAAGAGAAATGAAAAGTCTGTGCTTATAAAGGAGAGTGCGTGTCAGCCACTGTTACCAGCTTACAGTTAAGCATTGAGCACAACAAGGCCTAATGAATTATGTTTTCAGCACCCAACACAGATATGCAGAATGTCCTACTCCTGCTGTGGCTCAGTCAATTTTCCTGTGTACAAGACATAACTGCAAAAAAGATGACATGTAGTCTATAGTTTGTTTAGTGCACAAAGTACAGTATGTGTGTTAATTTAAAAAGAGATATTTGTCTGTTCCCCCCCCCCCCCACCTTTAGAGGAGAGACAGAAGAAGAAAAGGCAACACAGGGAGAAAAGCTCAGAAGAGGGTAAAACTAGTCTGAAACGCTCCAAAACCTTTGTCAACCTCTTATTTAAGAAAGACCGCAAAGAGAGGAGTCGCTCCAAGTCGCCGTCTCGCCGTGCAAACAAAGGTGAGAGAGCGGTCACGGGGTGTGGGTTTTTCTTTCACATAGTGCAGCCTGCAAAGTGAAATGTTGCTTCAGGTTTTGAACAAATTGTGGAACATGACTCAGAGGTCGTTAAATTGACTAATTATAATACACAGTGTCTCATTTTAAGGCCACACTTTTAATTATAATCAGGGCATAGCGTTCTCTGAAGGAGATAAGTGAGGACATTATATCCAGCAGAATGTGAGGGGAGGTTTCCCAACAGTCCAGTTGTAGATAAAGTCTTTAGGAGTGTGTGAGTTTCTTACTTGAAGCTAAGACTAGTGAGCTTGGATAGAGGGGCACTGGGTTGTTCTCAGGGTCGAAGGAGGTTGAGAACGCAAGTGAGGTGAGATGGAAAGCCTCTTTAAAAGAAGTCATTGTGGGTAGCGCTGGTTTAAAGGTGGCAGGTGAGAAAGCTCGGGTGGGTCTTTTCTTCAGCAGGGCAGCAAAATCATGAAGACATAGAGGAGAGAACAAGAATAGCTGGAGTAACCAAGAATGAGGTCTGTTTACCAATCTGAGATGGCACACAGTGGTGTGGTGTGCTGTGATAGAGACTCAGTATGGAGCTTCCCTTTTAATACCAGCTCCTGATAAGGTCAGTGAACTACAAGTGTGTTTCCTGAACAGCAGGAACCCACCCTCCGACCTGCCCAACCAATCCTACAACAAAGAGAGAGAGAGAAAATGACCCGAAGACAAAAACCCAGTGCTCTACCATGACAGAGCTATAATACAGAATTCAAATGTTAAAACAGCCTCGTGAGATGACAAGTTTTGCAGTAATAAGTAAGATTTTGTAAATTTGCATTGCTTTCCCTGATTTATAGAGGTGTTCCATTATGTTTAGGGTTTTATTCATCTCTAATGTTGTAAAGTCCTGTAAGAGTGTAACATTCATGATGACAATATCCAGTTAATTGCATAAAAATAGGGTCTCGGCTGATGTGTTGTAGAAAACTTAGTTACAAACAGAAATACTATTCAGATGTGTTAGAAGCAAAAATGTAATGGTGAAGAGCATAAGTTAAGATGCCTTGATAAGCTTGATTTCTTAATTTAATATCTTAATTTAAAGTTAGTGTAAGTTCTCCTGATGGTAAAAAAAAAAACCCTGCACAATTTATTTATAGATGTTGAGAAGTCAAATATCTAACTGGAAGAGTTTTAAATGCCATCAGGACAGTTTCTTCTTTGCACATCATTTCTTTTATCTACATTATTCTTTAGATAAGGAACGGGGGCGCCCATTCCACCTCTTGACCTCCCCGAGGGAATCCCGAGCTGGCAGCCCACTGCCCCGACTCGAGGTCCTGCAGCACGTGGAGGACATGGCAAAGAAACTGCTCAGTCAGGATGAGGTGGCTGCTGTGATGAGACACTGTCGGCGAGTGAGTTTCTAAACTGAAATTACCATCTCGAGAAGAAAGTTAGGACTTGCTGCAGGGGTATAAACTTGTGCTCAGTTCATCACGTAAAGTTTTTCTGCACGCTGAGCTTTTAGTCACAGCAAGTGCAGAGCTCTAAAAACTATACTTCCCATTACCTCTAATCTATAATATGTTTTATCACAAATTTGTCTCGTGCTGTAAATGTGTATCTTGAGATACTCGGTGTGTGTGAAGCAAACTTTTCTTGGACAAGCTGAGATGTATCCAGAGGTGTAAAAACTTCTCGCAGAGATGACATTATAAAACTAATTTTATAATCACACACTCAAAAAATGATTCTTCGCTCTCATAAAGATGAAGCAATAATTTTGAGCAAAATCATACTGAAATATTTAAAATCAAATGTTTATTGATTCAAATAATTGTCGATTAAGCAAAATATGCTTTATGTAAACTGAATGTACACTAATCAAGTACATTTCTGCTCTTCAATTTCCATTAAATTAATGTTTTTTTTAGTGCACTTATGTAACAAAATTACAAGCATGTTTTCTGTCAGCATTCTAGGTATAAATATTTTTTTGAGCTCAGTCAGATCCTCAGTGTACATGTCCAGCTGGTTCTTTTTGTTTGCCTACTTTAATTTGTGCACCAATCAAATCCTTCCTACAGTTTCTGTCCGACTCTGTAATCGAGGACTTGGTGCGTCCTCTTCTGGCAATCTTGGACAGGCCAGAGAAACTGCTGCTTCTCAGGGAAATAAGGTGAGATACGCAAGGCATAATACTGCTTTATGTGTTTACATGCTGTATGAACTACACGTCCGCTTTATATCCACTGCAGAATGCTGATACCAATGACTGAGTTGGGTCGCTTTGACAGCATGGTCATGCCTTTTGAGCTGGAAGCGTACGATATTCTCAAGAGTCGCTCATGTAAGCATAGGATGCACCTGACATCACTGCCCTGATATTTTGTTGTTGTTGTTGTTTATTTATCCAGTTTTACAAGATTAAATTCTAAGCTGTGACAGAATAAAAAACAGGAAAGAATTTTTCAAGTGAGATTAAAAAAAATGAAATCTTTCTTTTTAGCGCGTTCCCCAGCTCTGCGTTCTCCTCGTAGTGGAACTCCTCGTCGTCACCTCATCACCCCAATCCCAGGTACATGGGCTGTATCTCTTGCTCTCGCACTCTCCTTATCTAGGCCTCGGTCCTTTCTTCAACCTTTCTCTCTATCTGCTTGATGGCTCCTGTAGGAATATAACTTATACAGAGGCTCAAACCTCTCTCTGTCTGTCTCTAGTTTTCTGCCACTTTATTCCTGACTCATCTTATATTCATAGTCAAAGCCAAACACCTTCACACGCAGACCATATCCTGTCCCTGGCACACATTCCCCACCCTCATATAAAAAGGACACACACACACACACCCCGAACAGATCAGGTTTCCCGTGCTCGTGCTGAAGAGGGTTGTTTTACATCTCGGTGGCATACAGAAAAGACAGAGACGTGCTGTGTGACACTTCAACAATGCAAAGATGCTTTGAGCATTTACTTCATTTAAAAGCAAGCGAGACACAATCAGTCCCATCTTCAGACTGATTGCAGCCGCCTCTGAGGTCATAGGGCCGGGTCAAAGGGTCAGTATTATGAAAACAGCAGATATCTGTCAAAACGTCTCTGAGCTGTCGTTGTTCTGTCTTCTGCCAGCATAGCTAAGTTTTAACATGGAAGTAGAAAGCACGGATGAAACTCACAGCACTGATTCTGCTCCATCATAAGCTTTATAATATGCACTGACTCAGTCACTCACTGTTTATATGTTTGTACAGACTACAAGGGTGGATTTTATCTGCAGCCGGTCCACGACAGACTGCATGAGCGCCGGTTGATCGAGGAGTTGGAGAGACTGCGTGTGACAGGTCAACGGTCTGGCCATCTCTCGCCATCCCGTGCCTTCACCCCTCTGCTGGATGTACCTGTGGACAACTATGTATCCTCTGTGCACTCCCGTTCCCCAAGCCCCTTGCCCACTCACAGCTTCCTCCTCAAAGAATCCCCACACAGCACTAAACGTGGCCACCAACCCCATCGATCCCCAATCAGAAGAGAGAATGGGGCGTCGTGGTACGATGAGGTCTCCTTGTTGTCCGTGTCTGACCGAGGGGACGGGGCTTATGAACGAGGGCGGTCACCTGTGAGGAATGGCCATGGGAGAGTGAGGAGAGAGGGCAGTCCTGACAGTATATATGGCAGACAGAGCAGGCAAGAGGGCTACACGGAGGTCAGCGTACACGTTCCCTCACAGCGGAGAGGCAGAACCCCTCTGGCTGAGGTATTTGATCCCCAGAGGGAGAAGAGCCCGTCCAAGGCCAGTGGGAGTACTCAGCAAGTGAATGGACACTCACAAAATGGTCAAAAAGTGAAAGGAAGACAAACTCTACCACCCAAGGAGTGTGAAATCGCCACTTTGACCATTTCCAAGGCCAAGCACTCACTGGGTAAATAAAAAACAGCACTTGTTGTGACTTTCATTTAACTTTAAACTGAAATTTCAGGGTTTGCTTTAATGCCAGCTTCTAAAATAGTTTTTAATCTGTGACCGTATATGCGCTTGTAAGCACAATACAAACTGCTTAGTGACTCATCCTAAGCTGTCTCTTACATGACCAGTAGAGGTCAGGGCATCACTAACTGCTAAACTAAAATGCATTCATAAGAGTTCACACAAAAAAAAGACCAAACGACCAATCGATACAGTGTAAGACTAGTTACAAAACATGTGGTACTGCCAAACATGCCCTCAGTTTATTATTGTTCTTTTTCTGTGTGTTTACAGGTATTAGTATCTCTGGAGGTGTAGAGTCTAGAATCCAGCCCATGATAAAGGTTGAGAAAATCTTTCCAGGTGGAGCTGCATCTGCAAATCAGGCTTTGAAGGTCAGCGTCTAGCATGAACACATATAATAATAATAATAATAATAATAATAATAATAATAATAATAATAATAATAATAATAATGGATTGGATTTATATAGCGCTTGTCTGTAGCAGATTGTGAGAGAGATGTGCCAGCCCTCAGTCCTGAGGTTATGAGTAGTTGCTATGAAGTAATTGTGTCTATGACAGAGACGTGTGCAATGAGGAGTGGAGAGTAGATGAGAGCCATCTCAAGTGGCCCATCACTTTCATTATGAATGAGGTACATGGATGCTGGTCTGCTAATGTATTGGTAATATATTGCCTGTAAAGTAACTTAACAGTCTTCTTGGCCTGGTCCACTGAAACACATATGCTACACATGCGCTCATTCACTAAAGTTAATCACAGACTTATTGTTAAAGCTCAGTGGAATTAGAGATGCTTGGGAAGAAATGTTTGTGTGCAAAGTTGAAACATACTTATTCCAGCAGTAGGAGGCTGACATTATGTACTCGTGTTTGCTGACAAATTCGTATGTTTCCTAGCTGCAAGTTATCAGTTGAAAACTGCTATCTGAGTGTTATTCCTGATCAGTGTCAAACATGTGGGCAATCCCATATCTAACTAACTTTCCCTGGCCCTCTGTGTACAGATACCTACATTCACATTCATACAAACTCCACATCTCTGTAGGTGCATCTCAAGACATTTGAATATTGTGGAAAAAATTCAATATTTTCCATCAGTTTAATAAAAATGAACATTTACTGGACTTACTGTGCAATTAAACTCCGTTTTACTTTTGACAGTTATGGCTTACAGAAAAAAATAATAGAAAAAATATCTCAAAATAATACAAATGTTGATTTTTTTGAATTTCAAAGAGTATAAATACTGTGTATCTCTCAGGCTAGTTTAGTACATTGTGTCCACATGAAACTCATGGACAGCCTCCACAAAGAGGGTAAGCCACAGGTCATTGCTGAAAAGGCTGGTGGTTCACAGACAGCTGTATCAAAGCATATTGATGGAAAGTTGATTGGTAGATAAAGGAGCACAAGCGACAGGGGTGACTGCAGCCTTGAGAGGATTGTCAAGAAAAGTTGTTTCAAGAACTTTGGAGAGCTTCACAAGGCGTTGACTGAGGCTGTTTCCATCTTTCACTACGTCCAGAGCTGTAGTAGTCCTAATATCAAACCACTTCTGAACCACAGACAAGAGAAGTGCCTAAGTAGGAAAGAACTGGACTGTTGCTCAGTGGTCCAAAGTCCTCTTTCAAGTCTGGAGGAAGAGTGGAGGGATACAGAATCCAAGTCCAGTGTAAAGTTTCTGCAGGTTGTGATGATCTGAGGTGCCACCAGTTGTCATCTGCTGATGTTGGCAGTGGTTGGTCCCCTGTGTTTTAATCAAAGTCCAAAGTCAACACCGCCATCTACCAAAACATTTTAGAGCTCTTCACGGTTCCACCAGCTGAAAAACTTTATGCAGACTTCCTTTTCCAGCAGGACATAGCATCTAGCCACAGGGTTACACGTTACACAATAGTTTTGATTTTAGTACTCAAGTAAGGTTTTCGACACATTACAGATGACTGAGGTGGTAAATGTTTGAGGATCACCAGTTATCCTAATGAGGAACATAATGCTCTGCATAAAATTTACTCAAAACCAAGCGTTGATAGAAAAACAAACAAACAAGGAATCATTAAAGGTTTTCGCTCTAGGACTCAACAAAAGAATATACCAAATGTAATTCATCAAATATTTAAAGCGACGTTTCAGTCTGGGCAAAAGTAAGGGATTTAAGCAACATTGCATCCTAATGACACTATGATCTTTTCTTAGCCATCTCACCAGCATGACTAAAAACAGACAGGTTGTTGGCTATGAGGCTTAGACACAGATATATGGCTACTCCCTAGCACTCCTGTGCTATCTGTGGTCTCCTCCTCACACCTAACAACCAGGCATGTCAGCTGGCTCATATCAGCTCCACGGCTCAGTGTTATCTCCCGGTATTCTGCAGAGGGAAGTGAGATCAGGCGGGCTCAGTGTTAACACGCATCCTGTTTCCTTAGACCCACATGATAATCACACCAGTGAAGAATATTGTATTGTGTGTGTGTGTAGTAGTCATGAGACACGTGCTGTCCTGTTCATTAGACGCTGCCATCTGCCTTCACCGGCAGGAACGTGGACGTAAGCGAGTCACGTCAGCGTGACAGCTGAGTTAATACCTGCAAAATGACATTCCCAACAGCTGGACCTGCTGATTAGTGCTGCTTAGCAGAAACAGGCGTGTTTACATGCAATCCTAATGCAGTGATTCTCTAAACACAAGGCAAAAAGAAAATGTTTTTTTTAGTATTTTAGAGAAAGTTATCTCAAAATTTGAGCAGCCACTAACCACTGTCCCGAACTACAATTAGAGCATGAGTGGTGTTACATTTATGATAACCAACACTCTGAGCTATGCTTCTCTCAGCCCAGTACATGAGCTATTTGGCCTCAGATCCTCCCATGCAAGCTGTAGTTATTATTACATGCCATGTTATTTGTTGGCTGGAAAATAGAGAACCTCGTAAATGCTCAGTATAAATGGCTGTAAAGAGGATGGGGCAGATTAGGTTGTGATCTATTTAATTCAGATAAATTACTTTTCAAAAATGAAAAAGCACTTTTTAATCTCCTCTTTGGTTAAATGGAGCTAAATCTTTTGATACTGTTTGCACGAAGGGCTATAGGGTTGTTGGTGAACACCGGACTCTCTGGAGAAAAGAATAAAAATCAGCAGCCCGGATCTAACCTCATCCATACAGGCCAAATAGGTTAGAGCTGTAACAGATGGAACAGGGTGGTAGAGAATGAAGGGAAAATAATCTATTTGTGTCTAATGACTCGAAAGGAAAAGGGAAAGGAAAAAAAAAAGAAGGTACAACAATGGCCGTCGGCCTTGTGTGCTTCTGTGTTTCTAACCTTCGCTGAGATTGAGCACATTAGGCAGGTGCATCCTTGGCAAACGCTGATGACATCAGAGGAAGTTCCTCTCCTCGAGGCTGCAAAGATTTGCTACTCTCTGCTCGCATCCTGCAGGAAACAGCAAGCATAGTCCTAACTGTGCGGCTGTCTCAGTGTATATTCTTTTTCCAAAGACCTTGTGCTGAAGGGGAAACTTTATACGTGCACTAGTGACAGCTTTCAGTGTCAATGCATTAAAGAAGTGGGAGAGCTCCAACTCTCTTTGGCATAAATTACATTTCTTCACAGAGGGGCACAATCTCTGCAGTGTTATGGAAACTGTCTTTAATGTTGCTCTGAAAAAAAAATAGACAGAAAAAAGAGATACACAAATGGAGGAAAACATGCTTACAAAGGATACTCAATCTTTTTCTGTGGCTTTTCAATGTTCTTTTACCCTTTTGCATGTGTTTGAATCTGCAGGCAGGGTATGAGCTGTTGTCCGTAGATGGAGAGAGTCTGGAGGGAGTGACGCATCAGCACGCCGTGGATGTAATTCGGCGTGCATTCAGCAACAAGGCCAAAGAGCCGATGGTTTTTGTGGTCAAGGTCCCTAAGGTCTCTACCGACCCCAGCAGCCCCAACAGACTTGCTGACTAAACTCTGTGTGCCTCACAGCCAGGTTGCTGCTCGGGCATGAAGGACAACAAAACCTGCTGCTCCTCTGGGACTTAATAAATACAGGATTCACCCCAGAAGAAGAAATATGAGATAGGTAGCGCTCCGGTCACAGCGGAGACAATCAAAGGCAAAGTTATGACAAAATATACCATAAAGTATGTCTTGCGTAAAGGTTGCAGCTGGTTTTGAAGACTAATACAGCTGCATATTTGTCAAGATAAAGGTCACTTTTGCTATAATGTAATGCGAGATGAAAACCAAATGTTGCAATTGTATGAATTTTATATGATTCTTAGTTTTTAGAAAAACTTTTACTAAATGCATATGTTGCACGTTTTCTAAAAGACGCTTTTGTGATAGGATCGTGTAATTCATGATCTTTGGTTAGAATAGTGCCACTATTCAACACGTGGCAACTTTGCCGTGACCTCTGAGCACTGTCTGATAGTGGAGCCAGTGGTCTGCACTTTTTACTTGAAGCATCTCAGCCCAGCAGCCCTGCAGGCATGCCAGAGGGAGATTACCTCAGCCAGCATTATGAGATTTATAGATTTATACTCAGATTAAATCCCTGTATTATGTCAAAACTGATAGTTTGGGTTTAGAGGATGTCTGGGGAGATTATTGCAAATTGCTGCTCAGTATTTTTTTTGTGTTGTATTTCTCTGGCAGAGGTGCCTGTATTCTGGAGCCATCCGCCACTTTAGAGGCTTAATTACACCATGCTGTGGATGGAGCTTATGGAGACATGTGGAAGAGTTGGAAAAACATGTCAATGAGAAATGCAGGTCCAGTGGCACAAATAAAAGTCGGGTTAAAGAAATATGGATGGGAGAAAGCAGTGTGCTTAGTGCCTTAATTCTATAGATGGGCAGTCAGAAAAACGCTGAGAAAATGTTACTCAAGCTTGATTTTAATAAGTGATAGAAACGCTGAATTGTTTATATGCCTGCATGGAATTAAATTCTTAAGATGAAAGTGAGCATGTCTGTGCCTTTGAGTTACTCACTGGCTACTTTGTTAGATGAACTTGTTCACCTGCTCTTTAACGGACCTATCTAATCATCCAATCAGATGCCGGTGCATCCGTGTGTTTAAGCACATAAACGTGGTCAAGACGAACTGCTGAAGTTCAAACTGAGTGCGGCATGCCTGGTGGAGTATTTCAGAAACTGCTGATATATTCGAATTTTCTCGAGGAACTATCTCTAGGGCCTGACAAAGAGAAAACATACAGTGATCTGCAGTTTTCTGAGATGAAATTCTGAAAATGCCTTGTTCACGTCAAAGGTCAGAGGAGAAGGGCCAGCCTGCTTTGAGCTGATAGGAAGGCAACAGTAACTCATATAAAAAGCATTCAAAGATTGGAAAAACATTTCCTGAGTTGATGAATCTTTATTTGTGCTGTGACATTCGGGTGGTAGGGTCAGAATCAGGTGGATACAACATGACAGGACCCAACCTGTCTGGCATCAAGGACTCATGCTGGGGTGGTGTAATGGTGTGAGGATATTTTCTTGGCACACCTTGTCCTTGCTCTCGTCCTATAGTAGCTGGGATGGGCTCCAGCCCCCCTGCGATCCTGATAAGGATAAGCAGAAGAGAATGAATGGATAAATGGACTTTGGGCCACTTGCTGCTTTTTGATGTCACAAAGTTCCAATAATCTCAAACAGGTTTCTTGTAGGTGAGTTCAACGTACTCAAATGGGCTCCACAGTCATCAAATCTCAATCCAGCTGACCACTTTGGGATGTGGTGCAATGGGAGATTTGTTTTATGAATGTGCAGCCGACAAATCTACAGCAGCCTTGTGATGCATCATGCCAGTATTGAGGATTTTCTCTAGCACCACGAAGAATTAATACCGCTCTTAAGGCCAAAGGAGGTCCAGCCCAGTGCCTGCAAGTGTACCTAATAAAGTGTCAGATGAGTGTATTTTACACTGTAATGCAAAGTTGGTTCATTCAACCTAAAAATAAGCAAAAAAGTTTCAGAAGCAATTAAATCTGCAATCACTTCAAGATGTGACAACTTGTTCTTTAATTAAAAACAGTCATTTGTACAAGAAATGTACACATAAAAATATACATGGACAACTACATACTCTATGAATGAATGAAGACACACAGTAAGCAAATGTTTCAAAAAAAAAAAAAAAAAAAAACAAAAAAAACGATGGGGGGAAAGCGCCACAAAAAAAAGTGTGTTACGTTGCTTTGGTCTAGTCACAGTGGCTACATTTGAAATAGATATTTTGTCTAAATAAAAGACAATGTCACTCAGTTATACTATTTAGTGTTTTACATATTTACACAGAAAAATTGTCATGCAACGATGAGGGGGAGGAAATGAGAATTCGATATGCACACAGTGCTTTGGAGTGAGGGAGTCTGCTTTCGAACACCTGTGCTTGCTGTTAATATGAACCTGTGGTGAGTAATAACAGTCTAGGCTTGGTTAACAACGTGAAAGTGGTTGGATAAACTACGCTTTTTCCGTTCAAAGTTACTTCCAATGGCTTTACTTTGCAATCACAATTTATGCGCAGACCTTTAATGCTCCACAATACCTCCTCAGCCACAGTTATGTGGTTATGTCATGCAAAATATAGCCAAATATAGCCATGAGCATTCCTTCTCTCTGGCCATAACTTAATAACGAATCCCTCAAAAACGACTTGTGCAGTTCTAAACGAATGACGTGGGAAAACCTGAAGACGACAGCGTGAATGAGCGTGAGATTACGATGCAGACAGTCAAGTGAAAGATCAATCAAAACGGAGAGACATCAGACCAAAAAGTAGCCTAAAATAAGAGCTCCCCGCTGCTCTATCACCTGCAAGGTTTGGTCATTAGGTTTTCCACACAGATTATATAATGTAAACATTAAATTTTCATGCATTACAGTATTAGGTGCACTCTTCCTTTGTCGCCACCTCCATTTGCAATTGATCCGTCATTTGAAATATTGGTATGAGATATACATTAATCCACACACTTATACCAGTACTACAACAAAATATCTTCGGGTGCTATATATATATAAAAAATATACAACATCTCCTCCATTATATAGATTTTCATTTAACTATTAATCCTCGATATAGACTCTGCAAAATAAAAGCTCTCAGCAGCCCACTACCGCCATGCTCAGTCGTATGCACAGCCCTGCATAATACCGTGAGAAAACAGCAGCGCAACCCACAGTTTTTATATGTAACATGCTCCTCGCCGGTTTATATTTAGGCCCTCAAAAACTGACCTGCCTTGAGGACATTCAGTGCTGGAGCTACTGCATCTGCAAACTCTCACCTGACTGCTGCGTGAACCAGTTTCTTCTGAAATCTCATACAACAAAGACATGCAGACATGCCAGCCTCACTTCCTGTATAGCAGTCAGTGAAGAGTATAATCTAGTGGGCAGGAAAAACGGGAAGGGTAGGAAGACTTCATAACAGTTATTTGACTTTGCTTTGCCAAGAGGTACATAAAGGGAACTAATGGGAGTGAAGGGAGATAAATGGAAACTCTGAATAAGAATGCAAACAGTTCAAACACTGGCTTAAATCTCTGTAATACTGTAAATATGCTCTATTTTTAGTTTCCTGATACCAACCACAGAGGTGCCTTTCACTGTTATAAAAATAGCTGAGTAAGAAGCAAACAGAGAGAAGAAAAAAACAGAGAAAGAGGGGAATCGGCAGCATCCTGGAAATATCACTTATACTAAAACGTTTATGTGAGATCTGCGCATTGTCTAAAGAATTGACACGTGTGCAACAGTTGGTGGTCTTGAAAACTTGAGCAGAGTTCAAATAAAGCATTTCCTTTGAGCGTTTGGTTTGGCGTTCCCGGTAGGTTTTCGGAAACGGCTGAATAGGATGTTCACATGTAAGCAAGGAGGCGCACGTCAGTATTGGTTTGTTTGAATTGAAAACAGTTGAGTCCTGAACAAAAAGAGGGCAGGGAAGTTGTGCAAAATAACAGCGTGCTTCTCAGATGCTCTCGTTACTGCATTTCTCAGAAGTGACAATACATTCCTCATCAAATACGCACAAGCAGAAGAACAAAATATTGGTATTTTTTTAGACTTGGTAAAATGAACTGTTGATCCTATCAACACCATGAAACACAAACAGCAGTTAACAGTAATATTTGGGATTGGAGGACTGGTGCAGCGGGGGTTTGCGTCGCCGATGAGCACGGTTCGGGCGGGTGATGACGTCGGCTTTAATAACCAGGTGATTGATTGGTCATCTCTCGTGGTGCATGAGTACGTGCACGCTGGTGTCTGGGTGTTTCACGTCATGTGCTACCAACAAAGTTGTAACCAGATTTCTCTGTGTGTAGTAATGTTTTTTTGCTTTAAGGTTCCCATCGATTTTCAATACCCTGATTTGAACGTGGTCTGAGAAATAAAACACTTCTTTCCCTCCTCTCGCTCCCACAGATGGAAACAGGTCTTTGTGCTGGCTTTGTAGTGGAATAAAAACCCATTAAAAGCGTAGTGGGAGACACCTTAAAAGGATTTACTGGGAGTACATTTGTGTTAGCAGGAAGTGAGAATGCACCTTTTGGGAGAGCTCCCTTTTAACAGTGACAGGTGGTGAGTGCTTGCTCGATGATCCGGGCAAAGCCACGTTGAAGATAGTGCAGTATTTGGCCCAGAGTTGATTGTTTGGTTTACACCTTCAGAGTGTTGCCATGGTTTTTATTTGGACATATGGCTCGCAGCGCGTGTGTGTTTATATCTCTGTGGCAGTGATTTCCTCAAAGTGGATGTCATTGCTGCCGCTGCGCACTTCATAGTCCTCCATGTCCCTGTTCTCCAGCTCCAGACTCAGCTCCCTCATCACTCTCTCCAGATCACGGTTGCGACGGTACATCTGGATGTAGTTCTGCTGCAGCTGTTTCTGGTAGTGGATTACCTGAGTTGATGGGAAAACAGCATTTGAGTTAAGTACATAGGTAAGGAGGATTAGCATAAGCTTTAAAATCTAGTTTGACACGTGTCACGCTGAAGGAAAAAGATTTAAAGTCAGTTGCCACGAAATGTTTACCTTCTCCTTTTCCTCCTGCCACACCCGCCTCTCTTCGTCGAAACGTGACAGCTGCTCCTCACCAGTCCTCCTCTCATACATGAGCTCAGCCTTCAGCCTATCAACCTGTTTCGATGTATCATGTTTAGTTCCTTTTCTTACAGAAATTTAAAGCAAAAAACTTGTAATGCTCGTCTCTACATGGGCCCATAAGCTACATAATAAATAAATGACAGCACAGAATGCAAAGTATTCCTATCAAAAGGCCACAAAACTGAGCTGACACAAAACCTCAATTGCATCAATTCACTTTCATCACATATGCTTGTAAAAGTTACCGAAAAACACCTACCTGTTGCCTGAGTCCCAACACTGTTTCTGCATTCTGCCTCTGAGCCTTGGCTTCATCGCTCTCTCCACCCCAGACCAGATGAGTCTCCTCTCCGTTGCGGTACACAGAGGGACTGGGACCTCCCCTTCCTGCCACAACTCTACCCTGTTGCAGCGTCAGACTCATGCATTGCCCCTTCATGGCTGCATTTCCAGGCAGAGCAGGTCCGCTGTGACCGGTCAGAGCGTCACGTAGCCGGGCTGTCTCCTCTTCCAAACGGCTCACTTTCTCCCGGAGCAGCTCAGCTTCACTCTTGCGCCTCTGGAGTTCATTTTCGCAGACCTCCAGCTCCAGTGACCGCGTCCGCAGAGCAGTCTGGGCCTCCTGGGATCGAACCTGGCTGGCTTGCAGCTCAGAGCGAGCTTCTCTAAGCTGGGCCTTCAAGACCACAATGTCTCCTGCCTTCTGGCTGAGCTCCGACTGGATCTCCTTAAGCTGCTGCTTCAGGAGAGAGATCTCTCCTGACTTTTGACATACCTGGTGAACAACAGAAAGAAAGTGAGAGAGAGGCAAACCTCAATTTCTTCCAAGCTTATAAGTTCGTTTCAGGATTTTATGTTTTTATTAGTTGCTAAAAAGTAAGAGATGAACAGAAAATGAAAAGAGCAACTGACAAACAAAAATAGGATCACACAAATTCACAGCTGAGACATTTAATCACCGCGCTGCTTCTGACAGATTCATGACTGACTGTCTGGTATCTCGCTTTCACCTACCTCCCACTTTGTCTCCTCCAGACGTGGCCCTAGTTGGGTCTGCTCCCTCTGGATTGTGGCGCACCTCCTTTCCAGTGTCTCTCTGTCCTGCAGCAGAGAGGAGAAGTCCTCCTGTAGCTTCTTTTTCTCCTGCTGTAGCTGAAATACCTGACAACACACAAAGATGCACGTGATCATGCTTTCTTACAAAAACACAGATGTGCTAATCTAAAATAAGACATGCAAGTGTGGAGAGAGAAAACTACTAAAGCATAAGACAACATTAAAAAATAACTGGAACAAAAACAAACACATTTGTGGCAGAGTTTGGGTTCACTGTGTAATGGATTAATCGAGCTTTCTAATTTAACGCTTACATTTCTTCATTTAATATTTTTAAATACTTGGCATACCTGTAATTGAAGCACCTGCTGTGCTCTCTGTGCCTTCTGAGAGGCCTGTTTCATCTTCGTGGCACAGCTCTGTCTCAGCTCCTCCATCTCTCTTTCACAGCGGCGCTGCTTCTCTTCATACACCTGTCACAGTAAAAGACGCAGCTGAGAGGTCAGACATCAGCTCCTCAGCGTATCAAGTTTATGATCGGTGTCTTGAGGCGACCGTGTCTCACCTGGCAGATGGCAGCTTCATTCTCGTCCAGATTTTCTCTGAGCTGCTGGAGCTCCAGGTCCCGTTCCCTCAGCTTCTCCTCGAGCTCCCGCACCACGGCCTCGTAACCCTCCACGGGGGGTGGAGAGTGGCCACAGGACCCACTGTCTGACAGGGGCTGCCCGCGCCCACTAAGTGACCCCGAGCCTGTGCTCTTGCTGGACGAGGAACGTCCACTGTCTGAGTTACTGTGACCGTGGCTCCCGCCTCCACCAGAAGTATTTCGGCTGATGCCCGACACAGGCTCCAGCTGGCCTCCTGACCCAGAACCAGCACTGGAGCCCTCACTGGGAGCCAAACTGTAACCTGTGCTGCTGTGAGTAGGGAGGCTGGAGAGCGAGTTCCTCCCTGAATCTGACATGGAGCAGGACTGACTGCTCCGAGCATTGCGACCACCGGTGTAGGAGTTGCACTTCCCTTCAGAGTTGGAACTGCTGCTTCCACCATTCCCACTTGTACCGCTGGCACTGCTGGATCCTCCATGGGGCAGCAGAAGGTTGAGGCTGGCCTCCGACAGAGTGCTGGCGCCTGGCCGTGGCGAAAGATACTGTACGGAGTGCCGATTCTTGGGAACGACAGGCTTGAACGCTGTAGGACGGATCAGCACTTTCTCCATGTTCTGAAAGTGTAGATTATTAAAAAAAAACCAACTAGCATTAATGACTGTTGTGTTAATTAGTAATGACTGAGTAAAACTCATTAGTAAAGGCTGAGCGATGTGCTGGCAGGCCACCCCACAAGGCTCTGATTAGTTTGGTTTGGTTTAATTGATATTTAAAGGGTTCATTAAGCAATTTCCTTAATGATATTCCTATCGTATAAGATGGATAGACAGACGTAAGATGGAGAAGAGTGGAGGAGAGGAAAAAATCTGATTAAAGGGCACAGAAACAAAGGGCACAGACGAGAGCAAAGGGAGAGTCGTGACAAAGACTGAGAGCGTGAAAGCATCCTCTCCTCTGTAAGCATTTTCTTAATGATCTTTCTCAGAGTTCACTAAAGACGTCACTGGATGCGAGCGAGCTCTGACACTCATCATGATGTGTCTGCAAGGTGAGCAGCTGTCAAATGATCCATCTGAGCCTGTCAGGCCGGTTATTAAGCTTCCCTCCGGATCGATAGGAATAAATAGCCAATTAGACAGCTGAGGTAATCTGCTGTAAAACGTGTTCACGCAAGCAGCAGAGATAACAGATTAAAAAAAAGTCCTCAGTATGATATTTGATGTCCTGGTGGGTGATATTGAGATGTAATTTAAGAAGAAACTGACCTATAAATATCTTCAGATTAGAGGTCAGGGGCACTGACAGAGGTGCTGGGGTTTCAGTGTCATGCTGAAAGGCACTTTCCACTTTCTGCACCACACTACAGCCCCAAAGGATGTGAGATATGCGAAACAGTACGGTATGGTAAACGATTAATACACGGTTTAAGAGCTTTCAACCACATTTAATAGATTTCTTTAGCAGATGAAGCTGAAGATTGACGTGGACTCAAAGGCATGGCCAATTGATTTGGACAGTTATTATACTTTTTTTATTTTTTATTTCGTTTTGATTTTTTAAAAATTCTGTTTATTTTTTTTAGTCACAAGATTGGGTTTGCTAGTTTCAGTTTAGTTTTTATTAGTTTCAGTGTTAGTTTTAGACTTTTGTCAATATTATTGTATTTATTGCAAATGTCAGAGGCAAGAATATTTTTATTCTTGCATCCTCTTGTTAATTATCAGCAAAATGAAATCAGAGTATTAAATCAGCATCATCTTCCCAGATTATCCCTGTACTTCTCCTCACCTTCTCCAGCTGTCCAGACACTGGGATGAGTTTGGGAGGAGGTCCACCAATGTTCCCATTTAGAGTCCTGTTGTCTTTTTGGTCCTCTGAGTCGCTGCAGGGGCTTGCAGCAGTCAGCACCAGGTTGTCGTTCCAGTCTCCAACCACCACCTCCTTGCTCACATACCCAAAGTTCCCATTAGTGCTGCCACCGACACCGCCTACTGTTCCAGCAACCGTTCCACCCCCTCCTGTCCCAGCAGAGTTTCCAGGCCGTGGCTGCTTCTTTGTGGGAAGCGGTGGAGGCAGAACCTGCGCCTGAGGCTCTGTTCTGTTGCTGATAACCAGCAGCTGCTCCAGGGAGCTCCCACTGCGGAGGGTATTATCCTGGAGCCGGAAGCAGCTGGTAGCTGGCGTGGAGCGGCGTGGCTTGGTGTTGAATTCGCTGGCAGCCCTGCAGTGTCTCTCTTGGTACGTCCGGCCTGATATGAGACTACTCACTGACCCCATGGCTGTGTCAGAGGTGCAGTGCCCACAGGGGCCAGAGCAGGGACCTGAGGGGGAATGGGATGATAGCGGCCGGCACTGCTGGATGTCGAGGCCTGGATTCGGGTGGTCACTCACGGTCAGGGGTAGTGCCTGAACCAGAGCCATGGTAGCCCGATGGCGTCAGACGCACCACACACTCTGATAAGAGAGAAAACAGACACAAAATGTTACATTTATACTCCAGATGCAACTATTACACAGGTTTTTTATTCAATGGTGTTTATCCTAGTGTTGTATTTTTATTTTATTCAAAAACACAACACTAGGCACGAGAAAAGATCACTGCAGAAAGCTGCACTGCAGTGGATCAGTCAAACTACATCAGCGTGGGCTGTAGCTGCAGAGCAAAAGTAGCAGTAGCCGTGTGGAAGGTAAAACACTAAAATGAGACTTGCCAAGAAGGACGCAAAGAAGGGTATCGGATGGGTTGGGCTTAACTCTGAACTGACGCTTCGCTCCACTAATGATAAAGTAAGTCAATCAATTTAACAAATCTAAACCAATCTATTTTATTTTAAAGCCCTGCAAGAGATCAAATTCTGTGGACATGCATTTCAGCTGATTTGACAGGTGTAAAAATTTGGAGCATGTAAGACGCTTTGGAAGGAAACACTTTCTCATGTAGCAGCTTTGGCTCCTGTGTCCACAGCTGTCTCACACATCATGGGTGGGAGGAGATAAAACTTAATGAAAAAAATCCTCGTATTACAAATCACCTCTGAACTCTCTTCAATGTGTTGCCATTATTAACAAAACTTTAAATGCAGACATATGTTTTGGAAGAAATTGTGTTTCGTTCTTACAGTAGAGTTCCAGAGACTTGAAGAATCAATGGTCTGTATTTGTATAGCGCTTTACTAGTCCCTAAGGACCCCAAAGCGCTTTACACATCCAGTCATCCACACACTGGTCATGGCAAGCTACATTGTAGCCACAGCCACCCTGGTGCGCATGGACAGAGGCGAGGCGAGGCTGCCGGACACTGGTGCCACCGGGCCCTCTGACCACCACCAGTAGGCAACGTGTGAAGTGTCTTGCCCAAGGACACAACGACCGAGACTGTCCAAGCCAAGGCTCGAACCGGCAACCTTCCGATTACAAGACGAACTCCCAACTCTTGAGCCACGATCGCCCCAATGAGCAATGAAGCAAACTTATTTTTTCTGATTCACTACACCCACTTTACAGCTGTTTGAAATATTTCAAACCCCCTCCCCCGTGACCTCCAGTCACGGCTCATCCCTCATTAAACATACTGTATCTACTGCTAATTGCCAGTGTCATTAACGAGGCAGGAGGAGAAAAAAAAAAAGAGGATGGATTTAGTAAAGGGTGAGGGGAGTGAGTCACAATCATCTCCAGCTCCAGCTGCTCTGTGATATTCCTGCGTGTCCTCGTCTGAACCTGCGAGCAGTCATCTGGGTATTATTCCTAAAGTGGTTTGAAATTTATTCACTTTACCGTTTTATGATGACAAGGCTCACACCCATCAAAGAACATCTTTGAAGGAAATGAATATTAGCTTCAGTCGGTTGCTGCACTATTTTTAGGCAGTGAAACATGGATAGATATTATTAACACAATAAATGGAAGCAGATTAAGTCTTCAATTTGCAGATAGCATTATCAGTATTGCCCAGAGGGGCATAGACGGGACTCGCATCCTAGCCTGCTGTGCCAATCTGAAACCCGTCTGGCCAAGTGGAATAATCCTTTGTGCCATGGCTGCACACGGTTATGTACATGTCCATTCTGAAAAATGGTGACAATAATCACCCCCTAAGAGAAGTCTATATTCTTGGAAATACAATAAATACAAACACCAGCTGTGGATTAAAATAAAAAGGAATGAGAACAGTTTTCATTTACATAACTGTATATGAAAACTGTTTGGCAAATGTTTCTTTCATGTATCTTATTGAAAATACTGGCCAATATATCGGATATTGACCAGTGGTATTGGATTTTTAGATGATTGGCCCAAATGGGTGAGTGACATTGATTCCATCCATCACAGACCACTACTGGAGTGGGTTTTTTCTTACACTCAGTATTTCACTCTCCAACAAAAGTCGGTCATCAAACGACTCATTTTAATTTGGAAGAAAAGCGGTCTTTTAGCTGCTAACCATCTGCAATGACTACAAAGCTGAATTAAGAAAAGCTAAACTATCTCCTCCACCCCTTTCTCGTCACATCTAGCTTCAAAAGGATGGCAATGGTGAAAATGCTCATCTCAAGGCTTAAAGATGGGACTCTACAAATTAAAGGTTTATATCATGGTGGCATGAAATTTTCAAGGGGTCACTAGAGGAACTGAGGTTTTTGGCACTTCAGTGTTGGCCTCATTTTGTGTGCTCGAGGTTGCCTCACACATGACACACAGCAGGAAACAGTCAAGCTCCGACATGTTTGTATTATTGAAAATACTGTGTGATTTAGATGAGAGAGCCTTACGGGCAGAGCGTGCAGCAACTCACACATCACACCCGCTCGCTAGTGGTGAATGCAACAGATATTAACTGTGCTATTTGAATACTGGTGCAATTGGACATCACATGGACTTTGTACTTGGAAGCTGGGAGGTTAACTGGGCATTTGCTGTTTCACATGCAGCTCTGTTGGGTAAGAAAAGCTGAAATATTTTGATTATTCGTGAAAGTATGTTGACATAATGGATTTTATTTGTCATTAATGATTGAATCCTGATCAAGCAATCAAGTTTACAATATCCTGCTTTGATTTTATGACTGAAAAAAATACAACTCACTGGATAGGAGTTTGAGGAAAGCATATGTAACGGCTCAAACTATTCATTCGTGATCAGTAAGCAGGACGATTCGATTCCTGCCAGTTCACTCCATACTGACTAAACCGTCTGTGAGTACATGGCGGAGAGTGACGGGGAGTTAAAGAGACGAGACAGGCTTCGTGAGTACTCGTGAGTCAAGGAGATAAAGATATGCGTGGTATGTGATCATTTCCAATGCCAAAATAATCACGCCTCACACAACCTCCTTTCCCCTTTGATCCAGCCACCACTAACCCCCACCCTTCTCCTCTACACTCCCAGCCCTGACAAGGACCTCTCAGGCAGGGATAATAGAATTAACAAACCTCTGCGACCGTCAACCGTGACCCCCTCCTCCTGAGGAATGGGGTGGGGGGCGGCTGGTCTGATTCTGCCCTCCCCTCCCACCCCTGTGACCTCCGAGGGCAGGGCTTTGTTCTGGCTACTCGGGCAACAAATCTCAAAAGCTAATTTCCCCCTCTGATGTTGCTCACTGGTTGGTTCTTAAAAGTTATTGAAGGCCTCCTCTCCTCCTTGGTTCTTCTGAGAAAGTGAAAATATTTTCATAATCCGCTCCATCCGCCCTCACTGCTTCCTCCACCTTCCTCATTACACGCATCCTCCTCTGCTGTCAGCAGCACAAGACAGGCAGAGAAAAAACAGCCATCACCACTAAATATAGAAAACATCTCAAGTGCCTGAAATCATTCTGATAGTCTTTCATGAGGCATTTGATTCGGTGTTCAAAAATAAACTCCAATAGTGTTACAGCTAGCTGTGATGGGGTCAACCCAGGGGCACTTTACACCACATCCTGACACTCTAAAACTATTAAATGATGCTGAACCGCTTAAAGGCAGCATTACTGCTTCTGACAGGAACTGGAAATACTTCAAGTGGATGTGAGAGTTTACCGTCCACATGGTACCAACTGGCCCAGGATGAACAAGAGCAGGGCTGATAGAAGAAAGAAGTTCCCAGGTAGCTCTCTAACAAGATCCAGAAGTCAGTTCTGTGACGGGGAAATAATCCCGTTATGATAAGTCTGTTAATAATGCCAGTCCTTCCCAGGAGAGGAAACCCCATTATTGAGCAGCAGTAGATCGCCCCTTGCAATCCCACGCAACCTCAGAGCTGTTCCGGAGACTCTGCTGGGCTCAGGACAAACTCAGAAAAGTGAGAACAAGAAGGAAGGAAAAGAAAGGGGATAAGGGGTAAACACACAAAGGAAGGCTAGCTGTGAGTGTTGCCTGGGGTTTTAGGGGATTTTCCAATATCAGGTTGCCCAAAAAGAGGAGCCAAACAGAAATGAGCTTCAGGGAGAACCGTGCATCCATAATCCTGTTTATCATTATTTTGCCAGTGCAGAGACACAGAGGTCTGAGCACCTTAACGTCTCAAATCAAATGTGAACCGAGACAACTTGTCTTTGCTGAACCACCTCCTGCTGACCGAGCAAAAATGCTGTTACTCATGTCGGCTTGCAGGAATTTTCCTTCAACCCAACAAGCCGAAGACGACAACGACATGCAGTGAAATCTGCAAGGCAGGCCACAGCTGTGTTATGGCTGTGAAAACAAGTCATGCTGAAGCATCTTCGGTCCTGTAAAACCCGAGGGTTTATGAGTACATGCGGTCAAGCAGCAGAGTGTGGCATTCTGTTTAAACTCAAATATTGTAACTAGCAAAAAGTGCTTTCCTTTGTAATCCAGGACATGCAGCTCGATGACATTGTAAAAAAACTAGCGTATGCCGTAATCATGATAAACGTATCCATTACTGACACACAGGGCTAAATTTGCTTAATTAATCCTTTAAAATTTGAAGATGTTTTGACAAAAGACACAAAAGTCCCTGTTTTAGACTAATTTCAATAGAGCAAAACAGCAAATGCTCACACTGGAGCAGGTAGAACAAGGAAATGCATAAACTGCAGGGTGCTTTCTGTTTATTTACACCTGCATTAGATCAGACCAATTAAAGCACATCCAGTATTCATTCTGCTTTTATCTCAGGTCTATTCTCCACCAAATATCTTCTTGTTTCTAAATATCTAAATATCTTCTACATTTCTGATATCTGTATGTCAGAAAAATGTAATTTATTGAACAGTTTCTGATGAATAAACTGAAAATAACATATTATTTTTGGCCCCAAATCTTCACTCAGCAGACGTCTCAGGCATGAGGATAAAAATGTGCATTTCATTTGAAAGTGGAAGTCAGAATTTCTGAGTTCTCAGTCCGCATTTTCAACTGAAATGCCTCCTCAGAAAGTTGGAGGAGCCCCACCAACCCTGACTTCACAATCCAAGATGGTGGCATCGCACATAAACAGAAATAAAAACT